GGGCCTGACTGGCATGGCAAATGTCTAAATTCCTTTGGCTAAACTCCCTAACAATAGGAGCTATCAATTCTGATTTACAACCCAGACCACTACAACTCTGATTGGACAGAGGATGGGCCTCACAAACATTCTTTTCTGATAAGCTACTGCAGGCCTTTGGCCAGTTTCAGCAGCTTATAGAGGATTTGCACAAACTGTCTGTATATCCTGTAGTTCACTTTTTATTGTAAAGAGCCAAATTCCATCTCTTTTTAATGCAAAAACTTGGTCTCAAAGTAAATGTGGGATGTATGTGACATATGTGTTTACCCAATCCCCTTATAAATATGTATAGCTTTTCCCTCAAACCTGCTAAATATGATATGGTTTGGTGATACACTTTGGCTGCGTCCCCACCCAAATCTCATCTTGAATTGTAATTCCCACAATCCCCACGTGTGGTGGGAGGGACCTGGTGGGATGTAATCGAATCATGAGGGTTGTTACCTCCATGCTGTTCTCATGATAGTGAGTGAATTCTCACCAGATCTGATGGTTTTATAAGGGGCTTTCCCCCCATTGCTCAGCACTTCTCCTTGCTGCTGCCATGTGAAGAAGGACGTGTTTGCTTCCCCTTCTCCCATGACTGTAAGTTTCCCGAGGCCTCCCTAGCCCTGTGGAACTGTGAGTCAATTAAACTTCTTTCCTTTATAAATTACCCAGTCTCAGGTATTTCTTCATAGCAGCATGAGAACGGACTAATACAATATGTATGATACTGGCCTTATGAGGCTTAAATCCCAAGCTATCCTTTTCCTCTTCTAAGACCGTGCACCTTCCAGCCACATCAGAGCCATAAGCCAAAAAAGAAGAAGAATTCTAAGCAATAATAATAAAGAGGGCAGCAAAAGGGAGCAGTGGGAGAGAGTGTAACAGTGATGAAGTCCTCACAGACATTCTTGGAATTGGATTTCTGCAGCAGTCTACCAAAGAGAAAGTTTTACTGTGTACCAGGATGTCCATGGATGCTTTAAAAGTGGAAATATGTGGTTAAAACTGAAAGAAACCAAAATATTCCTCCGTAATATACTAGGGATTGTAGAGCTGAAGATTAAAGGGCAGGGGGCACTCTACCCTTCCCCCTGCTTGCCTGATGGCAGGACAGCAATTTACAAAGACAAAAGGTCTTCCTGCCTCCTCTCTGCCTTTCCCGCCTAAAGACAGGCTTTTGCAGGGTTTGCTTATAAGCTCATAGACAAAAGCGCCAGAGACTTTACTCTTCCCATAGATTTACCTTCTGACATTTTCCTACCTTCTGGAAACCTGAAGATGCTCTCTTGTCACTATAGGATTTATGAGTCTTTGTTAAAATACTATTTAAGCAAGGCCCCTAAGCCACTGCCTTGAGAAAGAAATCCATTTGAACTGAGAATCCTTTCCTGTGTGATGGGTACAGCAATGACTTAATAAACTTTTTTTTTTTTTTGAGATGGAGTCTTGCTCTGTTGCCCAGTCTGTAGTGCAGTGGCACGATCTTGGTTCACTGCAACCTCTGCCTCCCAGGTTCAAGCGATTTTCCTGCCTCAGCCTCTTGAGCAGCTGGACTTACAGGCCACCACACCTGGCTACTATTTGTATTTTTAGTAGAGATGGGGTTTCATCATGTTGTCCAGGCTGGTCTCAAACTCCTGACCTCAGGTGATTCACCCATCTCGGCCTCCCAAATTGCTGGGATTACAGGCATGAGCCACAGCGCCCAGCCAAACTTCTGCCTACTTTTATTTTTAGGAGACTGTTTCAACGAAGAACCTATGAGGGAAAGAAAATAAATTATATTTTCTCCCCTAGAAAACACAGAATCACTCTTAGAGTTGTGTGTGTGTAGCTGCGTGCATATGTCTGTGTGTGTGCTGTGAAATATGCCCATTTAGTAGTTTTTGTAACCATAATCATTTTTCTTAGTGTTAAATGACTTTTGGGAATTAATATCTCTAGTAGTAAAAAAAATTCCTTTAATTTCACAAATATGTCATTTTCTGTTAACTTTAAGTAAAATAAAATTTAGGAATTTCTATTTTAAGATGCGTGTGTGAATAATCTCCCTTTCATCTCTGTATTACTCTAGCTACCTATGTCTTTAAAAATAAATAAATAAAAATAAAAAAACTAAAAACAGGGTCTCACACTGTTGCTCAGGCTGGAGTGCAGTGGTGCGATCATGGCTCACTGCAGCTGTGACTTCCTGGGCTCAAGTGATCCTCCCACCTCAGCATCCCAGGTAGCTGGGACTACAGGTGCGTGCCACCATGCTCAGCTAATTTTTGCATTTTTTGTAGAGATGGTGTCTCATTATGTTGCCCAGGCTGGTCTTGAACTCCTGGGCTCAAGCGATCCTGAAACCTTGGCCTCCCAAAGTGCTGGGATTACAGGCATGAGCCACCACTATCTATGTCTTCATCCATCTTTTCATTGCTATACATTGTCAACTGAAGAATGAGGCGGTTCATAAATCTGGAAAGGAGAACTTTATTTCTCAGAAAGGGTTGCAGCCTGCAGGTGGCCATTCTGACAGGCTGTGAAGCACAGCCTCCTGCCAGAAGCCAGAAACAGACACTTCAAGGGAGGGGCAAAGGGAACAGGAATGTATGCTGGACAGTGTGGCCAAATATACATATTCAATAAGCTATAGGAGGAGCCATGAATATTTATGAAAGGAGAAACACTGAGCATCATGCCCCTTCATGGGTTCCGTGAACAAAAAAATGGCCAGGATGGCATGATCTGAAGGTGGGGTTTTTGGCCCTCTGATGTCCAAATGTGAAGCAGAGGAGGTGAAAACCCTACTGGGTCTTGGCCAGGCATGGTGGCTCAAGCCTGTAATCCCAGCACTTTGGGAGGCCGAGATGGGCGGATCACGAGGTCAGAAGATCGAGACCATCCTGGCTAACACGGTGAAACCCCCTCTCTACTAAAAAATACAAAAAACTAGCTGGGCGAGGTGGTGGGCGCCTGTAGTCCCAGCTACTCGGGAGGCTGAGGCAGGAGAATGGCGTGAACCCGGGAGACGGAGCTTGCAGTGAGCTGA